AATGGTTCGTATAGCTTCAGGGGATGATTTGGGACTTAGGTGCGTGATCGGAATGAGTTTTGGAGGTACAAAGTAGATTTAGGCTTGAATTGACGAAATTAAAATTTTGGCATTTTCCGGTTGGTAGTTGAGATTTTGATATAGGGGTCGGAATGGAATTTCGGGAGTTTTAGTAGGTCTGTTGTGTCATTTGGGATGTGTGTGCAAAATTTCAGGTCATTCGGACGTGGTTTGATAGACTTTTTGATCGAAAGCGGAATTTGGAAGATTTTGAAATTCTTAGGTTGAATCCGATGCAAATTTTGTGTTTTGATGTTGTTTTGAGCATCCCGAAGGTTGGAACAAGTTTGAATTAAGTTATGGGATATGTTGGTAGGTTTTGTTGATGTCCCGAGGGCCTCGAGTGAGTTTCGGGTGGTTGAATGGATCATTTCTAGTTGAAAAAGATTGCAGAAACTCTGCTGTTAGTGTTGCAGACGATTGTGCTTCGCATTCACGAGTGGACCCTCAAGTTCACGAAGGGTTGGGGTGTGAGGCAGTAGCGTTGTCCTTCGCATTCACAATGAGGGTCCCACATTCACGAAGGGCTAGGTCATTGTTCACTGTGTTCTCTATGTGGATAACGCGTTTGTGAAGGTTCGAGTGGCTGAGGTGTCGCATTCGCGAGGGGAGATCGTGTTCGCAAAGGTTCGAGTGGATGAGGCATCGCATTCACGAGGGGAGATCGCGTTCGCGTAAAAGAAATTTTGGTCAATGGTATTTTTGTGCTTATTTTGGGTAGATTCAGAGGAGAGAGGCAAAGGTGTCGCGGATAGTAATTCATCCGGTTTGAGGTAAGTAAACATTGTAAATCTGAAACTAAGGGTATAAAACCCTGATATTTCGTATTGTTTTGACAATTGAGGTGACACACATGCTAGGTGACGAGCGTGTGGGCGTGCACTGGTAAGGGTTGTGACTTGGTCCGTCCCGTAGTGACTATTAAGCTGCGTATTTGATTTAAAATATTATGATATCACGTATTTTAGAGATTTATATTGTATTATGGGTTGTATGCCATGTTTGGGGCCTTGTGCCGACCTGTTGAGACCCTTAGGGGCATTTTTACTGTTTTCCTCACTCTATTTATTTGAAAGCATATCCTTAGTCATGTTTTACCTGGTTATTGTTTAAACCTGGTTTTGTATCACTCCTTTTCTTCTAAAAAAAATTGTGAAAACTGTTTGGGCTGATTTTCCCTGATTTCCACTGTTATGCCCGAGTGGCTGTGAGGTTAATGATTGAGGGAGGTTGAGGACCTAATGGTGAGGATTATATATATATATTATGGATCGGGCTGCATGCCACAACAATAGTATATGTATATATTATGGATCAGGTTGTACGCCGCAACAATACTTATATGGATCGGGCTGCACGCCGCAACGATATATNAATCGGGCTGCATACCGCAGTAGTTATTATGATTATTACTATTATGAGATATTATTGAGCCTGAGTGCTGAGTGTGAATACTGAGTGACTAGAGCTGAATCACGAGTGACTGAGAGGCTTGCCCGAGAGACTATATTTATGAGTGATACCTTGCCCGAGGGGCCTATTTATGATATCTTTGCTGATATCACTCTTCTTTTTTAATGAGCCTCTGTTGAAAGCTGCTAAGTAAATGATTTTTATGAAGTAACTGACTTTTAAACTATTGAGTTTGATTTGATACTCTGTAATGTACTACTATATATGATTTTTAACTTATCGTCAATGCACTCATACCTTATTTACTTTAGTTACTTACTGAGTTGGCGTACTCACGTTACTCCCTGCACCTTGTGTGCAGATCCAAATGCCCGAGCAGCAGAGTGAGGGTCCCCAGCATTTTTGGAGCTTACCGGAGACTGCAAGGTAGCTGCATGGCGTTCGCAACATGCTTTCCTCCTTCCTATCCTTGTTTATCCTCATTTGTTTTGGCTTATTATGTAATAGACAGTTGGACTAGTTGTATTTAAAGGCTCTAGACTCGTGACACCAGATTGTTGGGCTGTGTTGGTCTGATGTTTTACTGTTTTCCGCATATTTTGGTGATTTAAATATTTCTTATAAAAAAATGAGACTTAATTAATGTTAGAAAAGTATATTTATTAAAAGAGATTTACTGTGGATATTTGATTGGGTTTGTTTTCCTAGTATTGTGATAGGCGCCATCACGACTGGGTAATTGGGGTCGTGATAGGTGAGGATTATATACATGTTGTGGATTAGGCTACACGCTGCAGAGATATTACATATATGTTATGGATCGGGCTGCACGCCGCAACGATATATATCTATATACATATATGGATCGGGCTGCATGTCGCAGCGATATGACACTTGGTCTGTAGGAGCCCCTACAGAGTCTGTACACCCCCAGTGAGTGTAGTCGACTATATATTATTGATCGGGCTACACGCCGCAGCGGTTATGATTATGAGATATCTATTGAGCTAGAGTGCTGAGTGTGAGTACTGATTGACGAGAGTTGAGTCACGAGAGACTGAGAGGCTTGCCCGAGAGGCTATATTATGAGTGATACTTTGCCCGATGGGCTTCTTTATGATATTTTCTGTTTTCACTCTTCTTTTATAAGTGAGCCTTTACTGAAAAATATTGAATAAATGCCTTAAAGGAGTTTCATTAAAACTGGAGTTTACAAGGTATTTGGTTGCTGAACTGCAGATTTTGACTTTGATATTTTTGTTGAGATTCTTGATAAAGTATGCATATGATTTTAAATGCTCGTCACTACACTCTGACTTTATTTACTTTGGTTACTTACTGAGTTGGCGTACTCATGTTACTCCTTCCACCTTGTGTGCAGATCCAGGTGCCAAAGCATCAGAGTGAGAGCCTTCAGCCCCTTCAGAGTCTTATCTGGAGATTGCAATGTAGCTGCAGGGCGTTCGCAGCTCTGCTTTTGTCCTTCCTATCTTAGTACTTTGTATTTCAGACTTATTTTGTATTAATCAGACAATGTTGAGTTGTACGTAGTGGCTCATGACAAGTGACACCAGATTCGGGCTGTGTTGATGCATTTTCGTAGTGCTTTCCGCGTATTTTAAATGTTAAATTGGTTTGCCTAATGTCAAACCTCTTTTTACCATCCCAGAGGGTATATAAGGGAGTTTTTCCAATTAATCTGATATTATTCGAAATGTGATTATTTATTTATTTCAGAGTCGCCACTTGGAATAATTTATGGTGTCCTAAGTCACCGATTTTTTTCAAATCCCAAATCGAGGAAATTTTTGACTTTATTTAAAAGTCTACGAACCAGAAATTTTAAGTAAGGAATTTTGTTAACCCGAGAGAACGTATTAGGCATTCTCGGGTTCCGTGGCTCTAGCACGGTCGCTTAAACTATTATTAATTGGCCTATTATCTGATTTACTACACATTTTAAACCTATTGTGCATTTTTTAAACTTTATAATCGCTTTTAATTAATTATTATTACTTATTGCGAATCATGTCACGGGAAACATACCCACGATCTACAACATGTTTAATTTTTAAAGATTAAATTGTGGTCAGGTCACATAAATGTATCCCCGAATTTTAGTAATTAAGTGTCACGACTACGTCACGGGAACCGTACCTGTAGCTATGACAATTATTTAATTAACGCGCCTGAAGAAAACTATGAAAGTTCGAGGCATTTTCTATACTAATTTTATTTATGTGAGGGCCATAGGTTATGGATTTATTTTGTGTATGGCGCACCTCGACTTATTTTCTAAAAGGATTAGCTCTTGATCTAATTTCGTGAGTGCCACGTATTATATGTTTTAAGACTGGCACGCCTCAAATTAATTTAAGAAAAGGTTATATATTTTAAAGGCAAACTAAAGATGCTCCTATTTTTAATCTAATTTAAAACCAGTTATCACAATCACGTCATAGGAACCGTACCCATAGTTGTAATAATTCAATTGCGCACCTAAAGAAAACTTCATATATTTAAAGAATTAATTACTCCTAAGTTTTGTATTATTGGGAAGTTCAAACGTGATGAAATTCTCTTGTGTAATAGCCATATACGACTTAATTAAAACAACATTGCTAAAACCGCATGACATTGGCCCAAAATCGTTTTTCTTTCGATACAATGGCTAACTTTCTGTTTGTCGACGCAGGTTTGGTTTAACATGACATAAGTACAAATGAACACAAATGGGCCTAGATTGAATCCCAATCATCTCGTAAATAAAACCAAACCATGAATATGCCAACAGGTCTCATGTAGACCTCCAAATCGTGGTCCATATAGCTATGGAGTCCATTAGACTCTTATTTCCCACATAGGCTCACTGATATGTACACTTTCAAGTGTAACTTTAGATTTCATAAATCAATAACTGCATACAGCTATTTCAGGAAGTTTGGCATATTAAAGAACTAAATTGATGAGAAAGACAGAACATGATTACTTATTTTATAACACAAAATCCAATTAGAGATTCATGACTCTTCGTACTACTTCTGCAACTTAAACCCAATCCTTCAAACTCCCATTCTTTTACATGAAGAGAAATCGGTGGTAAACCAACCCAAATTAAAGTAGCACGAAGTTACTCAATATGACATATACATTATGTTTACAAAAAAAAACAAGTACAGAGGGAGGTATTATTTTAATACACAAATGACCACTTTCAATGCCTATAAAATTTTAGTTGAGCTAGGCCCTAACAAGTTCCTAAATTCCATACTAACAATGATGGTAGTTTACCTCCGAGCCATAGATCTGTTAGAACAAACTCCATATATAAGAGATCCATTATAAGTTAGCAACGTATCAAACCTTAACAAATACATACTGCTCGTTTAAACACTTACCTTTTCATGATTGTTTCTTATTATCACTCGAATTTTTAGTATGGTTTTAGACATTACTCACATCAAAACTTCAAGACCAAACCTTAGCTTGTAATCAGAAATGAAAAGGCACTCATTATCACATGTTAATGAATAACAAACTGAGATTTTCATAGCAATGGAACACCCAAATAACAATTACATCATTTGAGACGAAATGCACATACCTTAACAGCAGTAGTAGCAAAGAAACCGGGAAAAACAGAAGAAGAACTTTCTGAAACTTTAAAGAAGAAACAAACAGCAACAAACAGTCAACAGTCGAGTGAGCTTGGGTCCAAAAACTGAAGGTTCAACCACAATAACAAAACCACGGCAAGAAAGGGCAACCAATTAACTTAAAACAACCATGAAGGAAATCAAAACTCTGTTCTTGGACCTCTGAAAATCCCAGTAAAGACTTCAAAAATAAAAGGAAACTCAAAATTTTCTTAAGAATCCTTTTTGGTGAAATGGTTTTTTCCAGCCGTTTGCTTTTTCTATCCTTTTTTCTGTGCCCTAATGATTGGAAAAAGGGTCTTTTATAGAGAGGATTTAGGACAACAAAATTAGATTTTCTTAATTCAAAAGCACCCTTTAAACTTTTAATTTAAATCACTTACACCCTTGCCCAAAGAATTTCCCCCCTCTTTTATCTTTAATATGATCCTTGTCAGCTTTCTAGAAGCCTCCTATAAGTTTCCCTTAAACCTTATCCAATTCCAAACTCCAGCAGCCCTGATTTTTTACCCTTTTTCATACTATTCTATTATTTACCCCAGGCAGTACTGGACCTCAGGGTCACTTAAACCACAAGCCCAATTTTACTTGGACCTGGGCACTAAACACCCAAATCCAAACCCAAACAGTAAATAGAATCAACTCAAAGAAGGTTTAAACAAACAGACTTGGACTAAAACGGGAAAACATTTCTTTTCTAAAAAAAGTACTCAAAATAAAATTAACAACTATGATTAATCTAATTAATGAGTTATTATCACCGATGAATCAATCGTGAACCAAACCAAACAAATTTGGACAATAATTGTTAACACATAAAGGGTTATGCAGACAGGGGAAGAAGTATACCAATTAGATTGCCAAGAACTTCAGCAACTTGAGAAAAGGTAAGAGAACCCACTAGAACTCCGATGAATCACAAAACTCGGCCAATGATGGGAATTGTTACATGAATACTAGCCGGACATTCGTCTATGGCTAATGCTTCAGGCAACAATTTTAACCACATGCCTTAGACAAGACGAATCAGAGGCTTGAAGAATTTCGATCGTTCAAGGCCTTTTGTCTGAAATCTGGCCAAAACCATGAGATGGGGTGGTCTTGACATAAAATGGAATCCTTTTGTTGAAGAAACTGGGGAATTCACGGGGTTTTGCTATGAATTGAGGGCTAAGTCAAGAAAAATCGAACCAAAAGTGAAAAGTTCAAATTTTTATTTCTTAGATTTCAATTCGGAGAAAACGAGTGATTTTTTGGAGAAACTAATGGCGGGATATGGACGAGGAGATGATGGAGGATGTATGGTTAAAATTGGGAGGCGTTTGGAGGTGTTTCGTTGCCGTGAGACGATTTTCGGTGCGGCGGAGGTGGGCGGCAATTTCAGAGAAGGGAAGACCTAGGTTTTGGTTTAAAAATCGTATTAATGGAGACTAAAGGAAAATTTGTTGTTTAATGGGTTGGAATAAATGAAACGACGTAGTTTTGTCATACAACTACGTCGCTTTGGAGTGAAGGGGGCTGACCGGGTTTGAAGGGATTGGGCTTGGGTTAGGGGCAGTTTTGGACGGGTTTTGGGCTAGGGAATTGGGGAAGAAATTGAATTTCAGCCCAAAACAATGTATTAGAACCTTCAAATCATTTTTCTCTCTTTCTTTCATTATTATTTTTAATCTCTTTTTTTTAATTAAAACAAAAATCCTAAATTAATCTACAAAAAGTGGAATTAAACTAGTTGCCTAATTACAAAAATTATAAAAATCAACTAATCCTAAATTAAAAGTGAAAAAATCAATAATGCTCAAAATAAAGGAAAAAATGTCAAAAAGGGCCATTTTTGTGATTTTTTATTTTTAATAAAGCAAATAATTAATTAATTAATACTAATAATGTAAAAACAAACCTAAATGCAATGCATGATATTTTTTGGTATTTTTTTCATGATTTCTAATAAAATTAAACGTGCACAGAAATGCAAACAATTAATAAAAATCTACAAAAAATTCCTAAAAATGGCAAATAATTAAGAAAAATCTATTTTCTTGGGATTTTATAAAAGTAGTTCGTATAGGGCAAAAATCACATGCTCACAGCTGCCCCTCTTTGCTCGGAAACACGACGGGTTTTCGGGCAAAGATAACACGAGCAATTATGAGGGATTTTTGCTCGTTTAAACTCCATAAGAAGCATCTTTTGAAAAAGTTTGACCGAACCATGCTTCAAAGGTTGCCTACATATCCTTGGCTATAAAGGAATCAGGTCAGAGTAGTTCTGGAAGTTTTGGTATCTGGAACTACCAGGAAACTGTGATTTCACTGTTATTTCTGCTTGCTGAGCTTCTTATACACCGAAATAAAAGATAAAAGGCTAAACTAGCTAAACCTATCAACTACGAGTTACAAGATTCCTATCTATAAACCTTCTAAAGTTTGATCTTGAGTCTTGGATGCTTCTTTCTGTAGACTCTGATCTGAATCTTGATGCTCGTTAGCTGCAACCGCTGGTTCATTCTTCTTCAGCTTGATCAAGACAGGACATGCGAAGCTTGTGACTTCAATCAAATTTTGAGTGGTCTGCATATTTTCTCCGCTTCTGTACCTTGAGTTCAACTTCTTTTCTTTTATTCGGGTTGAGGCTTCTTCTTTTGGTCATTTCAAACCTTATACCTCACAGTGAAAACCTGTTTAGGCACCAAAATAAACAAACGAACGAAATTTTTCTGCCTTAGTTTTCACTAGGAAAATTTCTTGAGTTATTGTTACAAAATCTAAACTATTTCTTAATTGAAAGCAATAAAATTAGGATTTTGTATCCTTGAGAAAAAGAGATTAGGGAGTGGAGCCCTATATCTATACTAAAAGTCAACTGGGGAGTGGAAACCCTATGTTGGAAAAGCAGACTAGGGAGTGGAGACTCTATGTCTAAAATAAAATCAACTAGGGAGTGGAGACCTTATGTTGGAAAAGAGACTGGGGAATGGAGACCCTATGTCTAAAATAAATTCAACAAGGGAGTGGAGACCCTATGTCTAAAATAATTTCAACTAGGGAGTGGAGATCCTATGTTGGAAAAGCGATTAGGGAGTGGAGACCCTATGTCTAAAATAAAGTCAACTAGGTAGTGGAGACCCTATGTTGGAAAAACGACTAGGGAGTGGAGACCCTATGTCTAAAATAAACTCAACTAGGGAGTGGAGACCCTATGTCTAAAATAAACTCAACTAGGGAGTGGAGACCCTATGTCTAAAATAAACTCAACTAGGGAGTGGAGACCCTATGTCTAAAATAAACTCAACTAGGGAGTGGAGACCCTATGTCTAAAATAAACTCAACTAGGGAGTGGAGACCCTATGTCTAAAATAAACTCAACTAGGGAGTGGAGACCCTATGTCTAAAATAAACTCAACTAGGGAGTGGAGACCCTATGTCTAAAATAAACTCAACTAGGGAGTGGAGACCCTATGTCTAAAATAAACTCAACTAGGGAGTGGAGACCCTATGTTGGAAAGGCGACTAGGGAGTGAAAACCCTATGTCTAAAATAAAATCAACTAGGGAGTGGAGACCCTATGTTGGAAAGGCGACTAGGGAGTGAAAACCCTATGTCTAAAATAAAATCAACTAAGGAGTGGAGACCCCATATTGGAAAGGAGACTAGGGAGTGGAGACCCTATGTTGGAAAGATGACTAGGGAGTGGAGACCCTATGTCTAAAATAACTTCAACTAGGGAGTGGAGACCCTATGTTGGAAAGAAAAACGTAACTAGATATTGGAGATCCTGAGCTACCATGTTTTTTTTCCTTATCTTTTTTCTTATTTTTTTAATTATAGAATAAGTAAATGTGGGAAAGAACTTTGGAGAAGACTTCCCTTTATGAATTGTTGCTGCAAAGCTGTTTCTAGCCCTTACGCAGTTTCCTTTTGGTTGCACCCGCTTCTTGCAAGGTTGTTTTGGATTGCACCTGTTTCATGTTTTCAAAAAAAGAACAATTGTTAGTTTGAAATGGTGGTTGGTTTTGTGGCCTTGAATGTTTTGATCACTTGATCTCGGCCCAACTCTTTCAATAAACATCTCTCTTGCTTGTTGACTTTCTGGAGATCAATCTTTCTTTTAAAACCTAGGGACCTTGACCTTCCAAAATTTCACATGATGGTTCAACAGTGCGGGGCTTTGGCCTTTTCATCTTATTTCGCTTTTATGGGCATTTGACTTTGGATTTCTTTCCTTTTCCATAATTTTAACTTTGGAGCATCGGCCATCATGGTCAGTCGAGATTGACTTGATGCACCTGCTGAGGCTGGGTGATTTTTCTTTGACCTCGGATTTTGTTAAGCGAAACCATGTAAACCAATCTTGCCATCTTTTCTTTGTATTAGTTTTGGAGAATAATTAAACCAAAAGGAATTCAAAGAAAAATAAGCAAAAGAGAGGATATTGAATTTAAAAAGAGGCGTCCCTTTCGGGGGAAGAAAGAAGGACTTATCTGGAGTGCGTGCAGACTTCAATAGACATGACATACTTCTTGGACTGGATAACTGATCGGCGCAACCGTCCAATTTCTCATAAACCCAACCTAACTTGTGTCTTAAAACAGAGACACTTTTCCAGGACTTTATCAGTGCCGATGGTTGTAGGGAATTCCTTCTTTTCGGTCAGTGACGCCCTTTGCGAGTTTTTGCCAATTGACCTCTCTCATTTATCTTCTTACTATCGCTTTATAGTGCTCTTTGCGAGTTTTAACTAATATGACTCTCTCATTTTTCAGTTTCTCTACTCACCATCACCTTACGGTGCCCGCATGAGTTTTCACAAATAAGACTCTCATTTTATTTTTCTCATTTTGATTGTATCAGATCCAAATAGCTGCGTTCTTCGATTCTTGAACATTCTCACTGATCGATCAGAAGGACTTGAACAGTGTTCAGGGTAAAAGGAATTTGGATCAAATTACAACTTTGGAACCATTCAGGCAGGATCATCGCCGAACCATTACAATATCTGCCCCAGTTTCATTTTTGGGAGAATTTGGATTTTTGTTTTGGTGTGATGAACCCCAGAGAGAGATTGCCTATGTATCCTTTTGGAATCAAGTCGAACATAGTTCAGGAAACTTTATTTTTAATTTTCTTTTGTTTTTCTATTTTGTTTTGTTCTCTTTCTTTTTCCTTACCTTTTTCCTCTCTTTTTTTCATTTTTCCATTTCATTTTCTTTGTCTTTTCATCATCCTTTTTTTATATTTTTTCTTCTATTTTTTTCTTTTCATTTTTTAATAACACTTTCAGGTTCCAAAGAGGGTAATCAAAGAATGGGAGCCGGCTCAAAGGGTTTGCAAAGGGTTGATAGTGTTTGGGTAGCGAGAATGAAAGCCTTTGCCATCCCAATCGGAGAATATTAGTATTATATGGTGGATCCAACATAGTACCTTTTGACTGCATTTACATGGACAGTTATTTTCGGGACATTTCCTTCGATGTGTCCCAAGTACAACACACTCTTTTGGCAGTACTCTTGTTGCAATGTATGGACCTTTCCAATCCGGGAACTAATTTTCCTTCAGTTGTTCCAACTCTTTGTTTTATTTCCTTATATTTATCTTCATTGCGATCTAATCCTTGATTCATTATTTCAAGGCCTGGCAGTTTTCAGGATCTGGACATGAAGTTCTCAAGCATGTCTTTTTATTGAAATATGCATTTAACAGAACTGAAAATAAAAATAAGGAAAACGACAAGATTAAGACAAGAGACATTCTTGGACAATGAAATATTAATTTCATTTGATATTTTGATTTTTGATTTTGATTTTTTTTTAATTTTTTGAAGATAGAAGGGTTTACATTGAAAAGTAAGACAATAAAGTAAAACATCCGGATCACACCCTGAGATAATCCGTACGCAGAAAGGATAGTAAGACTGGCTACCAAGACTCCCGCCTGATGGGGAACTTTCATGCTTGGCGGTCATTTTTTGGCTTTTCTTCTATCTCGGCAATGGCTGCATTGGCCTTCAGTGCCAGATCAAATTCCTCATCTTCACAAATCATTCCGACTATTGGCGCACTGTTGTGTGCAGGCAACAGATAGTTCATCACATCAAGATCTTCTTAATCCTGAAAAACAATTCTTCCAGCTTCAATCAATTCTTCAACTGCCCTTTTAAGGGTCCAACAGTCCTCCATACTGTGTCCTACTGCCCCAGAGTGGTATTCACATCTAGCATCAGCTCGGTGCGAGGGGGACTCGGGATTTGGCCGGTTCGGGGCCAGTGGCTGCAATAGATTTAGCCTGATTAGCTTTTGGAACAAGCTTGAATACGATTCACCAATAGGGGTGAACTCATTCTTTTTGAAAGGCTCTTTTAGGTAAGGATTGTATTGGGGATCATCTGGTTGGGGATTATATGAA